AATATATATTGATTACTGAGATGTCTGCTTAGGAGGACGGCCTTCGAGGCGGTAACGCAATCGATTGCGTGGAACACCGAATTGTCGGGCCACATTGGCGACTTTTGCATCAGGGACATCGCCGATGTATTGCATCGCTTCTAGAATACGCGCTTCCATGTTCCTTGATGCAAAACGAAGTGACGTGGGTGGAACAAAGCAGATTGAAGGCAGACGGTGAAAAATCTGGCTATTGCGGTGTACTGGCTACTGCGGTGTCCAGCACCAGCTTATGGAGCTGGTGAGGAACGAACGCGAAATAAGTGGGGCGTGGCACGGGTAGCGCCTGTCGTTCAATTGGCCAATCTCGGCCCCTTGAGAACCCCACAAATTAGGAGGCTTTTGGGCAGATGCCCCTTCAACTTCAACTGTCATAACGTCGGTTGCTGGTCGCTCACAGAGATAAAACTTCTAAGGATGTCGGATCATGAGCCTAACATTCAGTCACTAATAAATTCCACTATGGCTGAAGTCTCGACAATCCGGACTAATATAAATAGCTACGTTGCACTAGTCATGTTTCTCGCTTGGCTTCAGAGCCGCTGCTTACGTAGCCTGTATCTGCTGCGTTGCACCGTACTGTGGGGCCGGCGACCGGCGACCGGCGTTGTGACAGTTAAAGGGCCACCGCGGTCCGGGCTCGGGCTAAGCTCTATACAGCTCCGGTAGGCGGTATCCATGTAATAGTAACGCATCAGGCGCGTATCCGACGAATGGTCGACTCTTTTATTATCCGAGTGATTTTAAGGCTGCTCCAACATCCTCTACTTAAGGGGCTAGGCTAGAATCCGCAAGCAAACTGGGCAATACGTCGACGCCACTTTGGATCTATGACCTGGCATACAGTGCCTCTGAAGACAATCATAAGCGAGTCACATGATGGTGCCTAGATGCCCAGTGCTGCAGCTCATCTACATACGAATCCGCCTTACTTCTGGCCACCTCATTGCTTGTGGATCCTCGGCTCCGCAATCGGCTCCGCCCCTCAGTAATTTCCGCGGCTAACCCGGCACCATGCGATGCAACCACCCGCCACAGAACAGGAGACGACGCTAGTCACAAACAGCTGCCCCCGCGCTTGGCGTGGATCTGCCTCGATAAGGTGCCACGGTTGTTGTGGCATTATCGCCGATGATTACAGTAAACACAGCCCAGAGCCGCGAAGTTATTCTTTAGTGGACGACCCAATCTTCACCGGCCGTAAGGGTAGGTCGCCCACCACATCTCGGCCTCTCACTTGCAACAGTAGGTGAGGGTATTCTGCGATCAATTCTCCCACTGAAGGCAGCCTCCTTGACTAAAGCGGCTTGAGCGAGCTCAGGCGCAACATGGCGAATGGTGGGGCCCTGAGCTGTGGGCGCGGTCGATTATCCGATGTCAGACAAGTGGCTCTCCGCCGTGCGGCTCAGTCAACAGTAATCCACCCTTAAAGCACGGAATAGCAGGGCAGCAGGGGAGCTGCGCAGCGCCATCCGGCCGCAGCGCCCAGACCAGGATGGTGTAGACCTAATCCTTGCCTCTACATGATCATAGTAATCGCATCGTGTCCGTTTTCTGCCGAGACATTGTACAGTCGTACAGCCTGTAGGATGACGCATTCCCCCCCCCCCCCCCTTTGTGGCCATAGGCCGGGCCCCCAGCAGCGACCTAAAATGGACGTTACCCGCCATGAAGCGTCTCCACCTAATTAGCAGCCGTCGATAGGTACTAACATCCCACCTCTTGTGGATAATAAAGGGTGGCTGCGATGCAACCCGATACTGACGCGGAAATAGAAGACAATTCTCTTTTCCTGAAAAGACGACACACTGCCGCTTCCAAGCCCTCCGCTCCCTATCGTATGGACTGCGCTTGAGAAGGCCGAGCGGTCCAATATGGGTCGTGTTCAAGAACGCAGCATCAAGGAGAAGGCCAAGGCTCGCAAGAGCGGCCCAAGTGTCCTGCAGAAGACAAAGGACCTAGGCGTCCTGGCGAATGTTTTTGCCGCCACTGTCCATTGGGACCCGACGCACCTATGTCATCGTGTCGCTGTCCATCTTCCGGAGGGAGAAACAGTTCCAGATGTGAACAACTTAGTAGGTGCTACCCGAGCACCCGCAGCTCCAGACTAATCTTGGCATAGTTAGCAGATACCTTAGCAGAGTCAGCCATTCAACAACCACAAAGACAGAGCCGCAGACTTCTCCAGTCCGCTCAATCCAACCGCCGCAAGGAACGGCAACTGGCCTCGAGGCGGAGCGCGAGGAGACGGCCACGGTGCTCATCGAAGTCACCGTTCAGCACGCCAGCTGATCCATATGGGTTTCCCGATACAAGCGCAGATGAGGCGGCGTCGAAAAGCAGGAGCAGGACTGGTGGCTCTGCTCGGCACAAGCGTGACGTCTCGGGCTCAGTCGGCGTGGCCGAAGGGGAGGAGCCGCGCAACCTGGAACATGCACCGGGACAAAGCACCGACCGAGCATCGGCCCCGATTCTCACTCCTGTCGAGCCTAGTGACCCGTTCCAAGGCCATGATTCTATCGCAATGGACATAGAACAACCTGAAAACAGCATGCCATGGATAGGAGACACCCCATGGGAGAACGTCGACGCAAGCTTCCTAGATGATACTTTTACAGACGACCACACGGCAAGAAAGCTGTCTGCCACGGACGAATTACGGAACATACGGCCGGAGTCTAGTGGTCTGCATGAAAAGAAGGCTGCACCAGCTCGTCCAGTTCCTGGACCGGAATGGCGACGCCTTGCTCGAGATTCACTGATGTTGCTAAACGACATTTTTTCTTCACAGGCGAAGAAAGCACCTTGGTCTGGATGCGCTCCTGATAGAGCCCGTAACAGATATATAGACAGAAGAACTAAATACTAACCGCTACGCCGCTACGCGGGGTTTTTTTTTCTGCGTATATCATTACAAATGGACTCGATGCTCGTTATATAAGCTATGCATGGATGGTGCTCGTTTTTTGCCACCGTTCTGCATGACGTGGGCAAGTCGACATTAAAACATCGCTGCTACATCGGGGGCGTAGTCCGCTCTCTAATGAGGTAAATGGAATGGAGATGCCGACAGCGGGAACGTGACGGGCGGCTGCTTGCCAATTGAATGTTGCTATTCTTTCTGACCTTGAATTTATTGTACCTTTCTTTGGCCTAGCCCTCGCTGCACTTTTTTTACTATTGTCTCCTTTGAGCGATTCGTCGTGCAGAGCATAGAAAACCGCCTCTAATGCCTCCATGGCACGATTACTGATTGTCTCAGATGCCTCGCCATCTCATCGTTCCAGGTGCCTTGCGGAAAATGCGGCGTTCGGCACTCCTACGAGTTACGTATATCGACGTCTGATTACACTTAGCTTAGAAATCGCCCATCAAAGCATTTAGAGGAGACTCTTTAGTGAAGCAATTCGAAACGCAGGCACCAGACATATCATGTCAAGTTTTCTGATGGCCGCGGTCGTATAGTGATGGGAACATCTGCAGCTCGGCTGCGGGCAGCTTTGTCTAGCCTCGAAAAAGGCACATGAGCTGCACGCTTTGCTACTGCATTAAAAAGCGTTTCGTACACAGTGGAGTTCACACCATGCGACGATTACTTACAGGCAAGGAGCCGCATGTCGCTCCATGAAGCCAAATCATTGCAGGCTCTATCATGAGACATTTCAATCCGGTTTTTGTGACACGCTCGATCTTGAAGCGCGAGAAGAGACCATCAGTAGAGCATACTCTAGCATCACATGTGTCACATAACATTATTATATGTACCCAGATGGTAGCTGGCGTGGAAAATACATTGAAAAAAACAGAAATAAACAGCAAAGGAAGCTTATTCGACTCTATTTGGAAAAACCAATGCCAAGGAGCTGCTCACACCGAGGTTGTGAATGTCATCAACCTCTAGCGATATGTCTTACCGGGATGAGCAAATTCGCGCCGACAAATTTGACCCGCAGAATACGAATCAAATAAAACAGCACTTAAAGGAGCAGTCCATTGTAGAACGGCATCACACGATACGATAGGCTGCTCGTCGTACCACTACTGTGGTGCGCAAATCTACCTGACTTAGCACTTTTACTCCTTTGTATTTGCTGCTTGACTTGACAGCACAATTCTCATAGTCGACGACTTTGTACGTATCTCCAGGTCACTACAAAACGACATAGACTTGCGAAAGTGTACACCCCAGCAATTGCCATAATGGGGCGACATGGGCGGTAACTTCTACGCAAGTCGCTTAGGGCCCAACTCGAACTCGAGCTCGAGCGGTGCAGACAGAGCGCCGTCGACTCGAACATGAAATGTGGTATTCGCGAAACGGCCGGTACTGGCACGTAGTAGCTGCGCTGAGGCACGGGTCGAGACGGCAAAGTCTTGGTTACCGTCATGATGCGCCTTGGAGTCACCAAGGGATTCAACGGAATACCGCGGTTCTTATTGCGGTTGGAAGTGGCAGCTTTGTGAGCCTGATCCATAAGCATCATGGCAGATTCTTGCTCACCTGTACCAGACTCGCTTGATATAATCCTGCTCATAACAGAAGTATTGCAGTAGTGGATGATACGTCTTAGCTGTACACGTATCACGGGGCAGACCTAGGATGCCAGGGAAGATCTATGTTGTGCTGTGAGGAGGGCAAACTACGGAGGTGGAACAGAGTCTAGACTAAGTACAGGGATGCACGTGACGGAACCCAGGTTGGTGCCGTGACAGTACCCCCTTCCCAAACGGCTGTTCGTCCTCGAACAGCCTAAACGACTAAGAGCGGCCTGGGCACAAAGTATATAGTTGTGCCCTTTACTTCCTTGCCCAGACCGGGGGGCCTGGCTTGTTTGGGTGAACTCTATGAAAGTCGAGGAGTACTTGGTTATGTCCTTTGAGGTCTCTAGCCGGTTGCCAGGTAGGGTCATAGTGTTTCCACTTGACTAGGTAATGTAGGCCATCAACGTCTCTGCGGCTATTTAGTAGCCCGTCAAATAGCCATTTTCGACTAGTTCTCCTGTCTCGTCATCGCGTTCTAGGACTCGTCCTCGGATGTTTTTTGACTCGGCCTCGTTGATAACGTCTTGGCCGGGTAGACCATTTGCTTCTGGTTTCGGTCGTAGGAGCGAGTTGTGGAACACGGGAAAGATCTTCATTCCCTCGGGGAGTTTAAGCAAGCATGAACGAGGGTAGACTTTCAGAATTGGGAATGGTCCTGCCCACTTGTCGTCTCCTTTCTTCATCGGCCGGTTTGTCTTCATATTCTTCGTGCTTACGTAGACTTCTTGACCTTCGGCGTACTGAGGAGCATCTTCTCGATTGAGGTTGGCGTTCTCCTCGTAGCGTCTGGCGGCTTGGGTTGCAAGGGCTTTCAGCTGAGTGATAATACGCTCAAAGCGGTCGGCGATGTTGTTTGCTTTGAGGAACTCTCGTCGTTGGGCTGCGGACTGGTTTGGCGGCAGTGGCTTGGTTGGTTCAGTGCCGAGTTTGGGGTGAAACCCATAGTTAGCGAAGAATGGTGATACTCCCGTGGTCTCAGATGTAACGTTGTTCGTGGCGAACTCGGCAAGAGGGAGCCAGTCGACCCAGTCGTCTTGGTGGAAGTTCATGAATGCTCTCAGATATTGTTCGATGCCTGCGTTGATCCGTTCCGTTTGTCCGTCTGTCTCTGGGTGGAAGGCGGAAGAATGGCGGAGTCGAACTCCTAGGCGGTCGGAGACTTGGCGCCAGAACTCGGAGATGAATTGGGAACCGCGGTCGGAGATGACATTGTCGGGTGTGCCATGGAGGCAATAGACTCGGCTGATAAAGACAGAGGCTAGTTCTTCGGCTGTTAGGCCTACAACTGGGATGAAATGGCGCATCTTTGTCAATCGGCACACAACAACGAGGACATGCTGGTATGTTTTGCCATGGCGCTCGCATTCTGGCAGGGGCGTGATGTAGTCAATGGATATATCTGACCAAGCTTGGAATGGCACTTGCAGTGGTTGGAGGAATCCTGGGGGTGCCGACCTTGAGGCTTTGACCCGATCACACAGCTCGCAGGCTTTAACATATTCCTCGATGTCTCGGGTTATGCGTGGCCACCAGTAAGTTCGGCTAACCAAATCGATTGTCTTTATCCGCCCGGGGTGTCCTGCAGGGCCTGTGGAGTGCGTACGGTAAATAACCTGGGTCTTTAGTTCCTGATCGTTGGGTGGTATGAAGAGCTTCTCGCGGTAGTATATGCGATTCCCAATGACAGAGCAGTCTGCCATTGCTACGCGAAGTTCCTTTCGCCATTTCTTGGGCCAGCGGCGGTGGGTTGATGCGTCTCTCAGGGCCGTCAGCATGTCTTGGGCCATCTCTGAATTTTCGTAGGCTCTATCGACCAGTTCATCGATGGGTTTGTCCATGGCTGGCATGATAACGTCTATCGGGGCGGCAGCGAGGTCGAATTCCCATTGACTTCTCGAGTCAGTTCAGCCAGGGCCTCTGGGTCAAAGATGTGTTCTGGCAGAATGGTCCGTTGGCGGTTCTTAATGCGGTCGTCGTTTGTGTCTGCGCGCTTGGGTTGGTCTTCTGGCTTTCGACTTAGCGCATCTGGACGGACGGCTTTGGTGCCTGGTCGATAAACAATACGGAAGTTGAAGCCTGACAGGAACTCGGACCAGCGGACTTGTCGTTGGTTTAGAGCCTTGGTTGTTGTGAAATATTCAAGGTTCTTATGGTCCGTGATGACTTCGAAGGGTTCTTGGGTCCCTTGAAGCTCAGGCCTCCATTCTTCCAGAGCCTTAATGATCGCCAGTAGTTCCTTGTCGTAGATCTCGTAGTTGCATTCCTGGGCCGAGTGTTTTGACGAGAAGTAGGCTACAGGTCGCAGTACGCCTTCATCATCATACTGGGACAAGACTCCTCCAGACGCCCAGTCCGAGGCGTCTGTTTCAAGTACAGTTTTCCTATTATAGTCATATAAGGCTAGAACCGGTGCTACGGAGAATGCGGCTTTCAGTCGGTCAAAGGCGGTTTGGTGTTCTACCTCCCAGGACCAGATTGTGCTCTTCTTCAGGAGGTCATTTAATGGCCGGGTGATCTTGGAGAAGTCACGGATAAAGCGGCGATAAAAGTTTGCAAAGCCGAGGAATCTTTGTAAGTCGCGGAGTGCTGTTGGTGGCTTCCAGTTGAGGATTGTAGAGACCTTGTCGGGGTCCATCTCGACACCTCCAGGCGTAACGATCAGCCCAAGGTATTTCGTCCTAGTTGTTTCGAATTCGCATTTGTCGATATCAATCTGGAGGCCTGCATCGCGAAGTCGTGTGACTACCTCGCGGACGTGTTCCCTATGTTGCTTCTTATCTGTTGAATATATCAAGATATCGTCAAGGTAGGCGGTGCAGAACTTATCCAGAAGGTCGAATAAGGTATGGTTGATGTAGTTCTGGAAGGTTGCTGGGGCGTTGCAGAGGCCGAACGGCATAACCAATGTTTCAAACAAGCCAAACCGTGTGATAAAGGCTGTTTTCCATATATCTCCTCGGCGATGCGGATTTTGTTAAATGCGGCGATAATGTCTAGTTTCGTATAGACTTTGGCGTTGCATAGGGCATCTAGAGTCTCACGGATCAAAGGCAGTGGGTAGCGGTTCTTTATGGTGATGTTGTTAAGACCGCGGTAGTCCTGGCAGATCCGGACACCACCTCCTGGCTTCGCGGCAAGGAGTAGTGGTGCTGCACAGCGGCTCAGGACTCCCGTATGAACCCTTTAGACAGGTTATCATCCAGCCATTTCCGTATGACTTTGAGTTCCTGTGGGTTCATTGGGCGTGTCTTTTGGTACGGAGGTTCTTTTCCAGTCAGAAGCTCTATCTTATGGTCCCATGAGCGCTGCGGGGGAAGTTTGTCTGCGAGCTTAGGTAGGAACACATCGTAGAGGTCGCGGAGCCATATCGGGAGCTTCTTCAAGACGTCATCCGCTGTTCGCTCCGGCTTGCCTTTCATGAACTTTTCGATATCGGCATCTGTGATCTTGGCTAGGCGGGCTGGTGAGTAGCATTCGTCAACAAAGTCGTGCAATTCATTAGGAAAGAGCTGTCTTGCTTCCTTCCAGCTGAAGTCCATGTTTTTGCTGCTTATACCAAGGACTACCATTTTATAATATTCCTCTGGGAGGTCAGGTAGGCGGTATTTCATCTGCTGGCGACTACTATCCAGTCGATCAAGCTCATCCCATGTCATTTTCATCGCCTCAACGGTTGGGTCGCGGCAGAATTGGACGAAGTTTGTAGCGTTTGTAAGCCGTATGTTCGATAGGTCTGGTCGGTCTGATGGTTCTAGGGCGGTGTCGCGAGATGGGTTTGGAAGTGGCACGCTGAGTGGAGGTAGCGGAGGTCTTGGTGGTGGCTTCTTTGTATGACGGCTGCCAGCAGTCATACGAGTCGGGGCTGGTTTAGTTCTCGGCTGATTGGGGATCATCTGGGCTCGGCACTCGGGGCCTTGGTGATTCTTCGGGTTGCGGGTACGGTAGTGATTTGCGCCTGGGGTCAGCGTTGCTTTAAATGTCATAACCGGAGCATCTTCGCCAGCGTTGGAACAGTCGTTACTATCATTCTCTAAGTCTTCGACTGTTGGAGGCTGATAGAATGAGACTCGTCGCGCTGGCTTGCTAGATATTGGCGTTGCTTCAAATGTCATGACGGGGGCATCTTCGCTAGTGTTTGAGCAGTTGCTAGTATCGTCCTCTGAGTCGTCGACCGTTGAGGACTGATGTGTGAGAGTGCTGGAGCAGTTGCTATGGTCGTCCTCTGAATCTTCGACAATTGGAGGCTGGTAGGACAAGGCTCGTCGGACTGGTTTGCCAGGGGTTGGTAGGTCGAACGAGACTCGTCGGGCTGGTTCACCCGGGATTGGTAGGTCGTGGTAGTTGCCGGGCGGGTCGGGCAGCACCGGTGCAGATGCGTTCTGAACTCCTTGGGGCAACAAAAGTTGTGACAGTATGGGGATGTGAATGTCAGGGACATACTGGACCAGTCGATGCTTGGGTTGTGGCGTTGCAGCCAGGGAGTCCAAGGATGATAGGGGTGTCCGGGAGAGGTCTGTAACAAAGAATAGGCAGAGCTCATTGTGCAATCCTATCAATATTGGTGCAATGAAGTATTCCGATATTGAGCCAGCCGGTTTCCCGTCGGCGAGGAGGAGGGCTCGTTTTGTTGGCGTTGGTTGGGTTACGATATTCCGGGTCTTGACAAAGCTACGGTCCGCAAATGCCCGTGCAGAGCATCCGCTATCAATAAGGCTCGTCACCTCAATGGGGTCGGTATGCGCGGGGACTAAGGTAGCTTGAATGAGTAGAGATTTGCTGTCTATTGACCTAAGTCTGATAGGTTTGTGGCTCGAGAGACAGCGACGTATCCATTCCGGCATCCTTGGTTCCTTCGTTGACCTCCGTCCGCGGCTCTGGGCGGAGGTTATTCTTTTCCCCGGTGCTCAAGTGAGGCTGGGGTGTTGACAGAGGGAGTGGGGGTTGGTGTAGTCCTTGTTTCCTCGTCTGCTATAATATAGCCTTGTTCGAGGATCGCAGTCTTGGAAAGGCTGGGGATACGCAGGGAATTGGGGCTGGAAACGGGTGGGTTGTGTTGTTGGCTGGCTTGGTAATTGTAGGGGCGGTGGTTTTGTCCAGGTTGGCCGCGTCCCATTCCTCTACTGTACCCATAGCTAGGTTTATATGTTCCAAAGGCCTGGTTGCGTTTTGCGTCGGCCTGCTTCTTTTCATCACAATCGCTTTTAAAGTGGCCGGGCTTTTGCAGTACAAACAGAGGTTATTAGTAAAGCAGTCCTCCTCGTAGGTCTAGCTTGGCGCGTAGCGTCCAAAACCATCGGGTCGCCAGCGTCAGCCTGTTGGCGTTGTTGGAATTGCTGGTGTGTTTGGCCTTGGTAGGGTCGACTACCTAGACGTCCTGAGCGCAGTTTGTCCTGGTGGTCCTTGGCCAACAGGTTATCGTAGATCGTCTGGTACATTTACACCACTCAGAGAAGTTGTCTCTAGCAGGGCGGACAAGCTGGTGCGTCATTTCGTTGGCGAGTTCCTGAGAGACCTTGAGCTGCAAGGACTCAACTTTCTGGGTCTCAGTCTTTCCACACTCCTCGGCCAGGGCGGCAAAGTCAGCGATGAAGTTTTGGAAGGGTTTCTTGCCCATCCAAAGGTTATCAAAGGCTTGTGAAGCCGAAAGTGTCAGATCAAGCGTTTCATACTGTTTGTTCATCTCCGCCAGGCAGTCGGTATGGGTTTGCCATGGCCATATGGCTTGGTTTTCCTCATGTTCAATAATGAAATCGAATTTCTTGCGGTAGAGCTTCGAGGCCGATCCTCCAAGCAGGCCAGCGATGTGTTGGATTCTGATAAAATCGGTGACAAAGAAACTCTTATCCACAGCAAAAGTTCGGAGCACTTGAGAGCGCCAGTTGACATATTGCTGTTGGCGTTTCTTAACATCCTTCTCATCGCCTTCAAATGGGTTGGGGTTTGGCATCATTCGACGGGGGCGTGACTCAGGGCGCAATTCTGTTGGTCTGGCGCTCAGCAGAGTTCTTAGTTCATCGGCGAGGGTGACAAGGGAGTCTTGGGTCCGGGGTGTTCCTTGGGCTTGGGCGAGGTGTGTTTCTAATTCCGCGATTCGTCTCTCTAGATTGGCGTTTTGGTTGATGAAGTGGTCCATTGCGCTCTCGGCCGCGCGGCAGAGAGCTTCGACCTGGTTCTTGTACATGTCGTCTGTTGGGTCTTGGAGCATAGAGGCGAGGCTGGAGCAGTCAAGCTTGGACCCGGTGAAGGGCAGCTGCGATGTTTGGGAAGGTATCATGAATAGCGTCGGCGAGGGTTGCGCCCGCCTGGTTCTGGGGATTCATCATGGTCTTGGCAGGGCGGGGAAAATTCCAGTGATCGAGGTAGGGCTGGGCCGCTCGCGGCGTGGTGATCTCGTTGCGTGGGACTTGGGGTGTCGAATGGGAAAACTCTGGTTAGGTGTACAATCGGGATGGCGGCGCAGCCGATAGTAGACAGCACAAACTATCACGGGGCAGACCTAGGATGCCAGGGAAGATCTATGTTGTGCTGTGAGGAGGGCAAACTACGGAGGTGGAACAGAGTCTAGACTAAGTACAGGGATGCACGTGACGGAACCCAGGTTGGTGCCGTGACAACACGCTGGCCCGAAATTGATCGAGCTCAATCTGTCCCAAAGAATTCTGGCATTCTCAAATCTGAGCCTGACAGCTGTGGGGCCTTCTATTACAAGCGCGTGCTGATTTGGGAGTGGGAGAGAAGGGGGGTCTCTTGTATACACGATACGGACAAGTATACTTATAACCAAACGTTGCAGTGAAGGGTTATAAGGGAAGGAGTAGTGATTGTAAAACGTACAGAAGATTTGATATTAGTCGCTACCATCACACATAGTTCAGGATGCTGTGCTCCAACAAGCTATCGTGCTGCAGTAGATTCTCCTCCAGTTCCCAAGTAGGGCTCTCGTAGCCCCGCCACTTTATCCCGACGTAAACGTTGCCAGTCACTGATCGGTAGTAACCTATGACTGCCTCTATTTCATTGTCGGACTCTACATTGCCGAAATGGGGACGCTGTCGGATTCCTTGCCATGGTTTCAAGTGATATCCATCGTCAAAGACCCAGAGCAGGGATTCCGCCTCGGGCCAGTCCCAGAACTGACCATCTGCGTTCACTGCTCTCACCCCATGGAAGATCCACTGAAAAATCTGGACAGAATATAGTACTTGAATTACCGTGACCATAGGTGACCATGGTGTTTGGATCCGGTGCCCTTGGTAAGAATAATGCGGCGTGATTATCGTCACGCTTTGTGAATACGTCTCAGGGGTTCCATTCCCGCTACGTTTATTCGAATCCATCTAACTAGATATTAAATGGAAGCCAAGCAGCAAGGATTAGCTAGCAAGGCGATAGCAGGACAACCCTAACGAACGGCTAGAGAGCCACAGTATATATAGTACGTCCCCATCAGTCAGCCTCATTACGCCGAAACTTATAGCGTGCATTTCTGTATCAAGAGTCGTCTTGAAACCAGTCAGTGTGCCTTAATTTTAATTTGGAGCAATTACTGCTGCTGTAATGTATATATGTAATCACAAATCACCCAAACATCACCCAGTTGTGGATCTAACTTGACAGGCACCGCAAGCTTCCCAACAGCTGCTTGGTTACGCCGGACGTTTTTTGATTACGCCCAGCAGGTTTTTCCCTGCCGCAGTCACTGCTTATAAATTGGTGTTTACTCCATGCCCGTTATCGTCCATGTCTTGAGGTAAATGTACCGACGCCAGCCTTCCCCTCTCCTACCAACTGGGCCATGGCAATATGCAGACAAACGAACGTCTCAAAAAGCTCATTCTCTCCCCAGTTAGGTTGTTGATTACAAAGCCACAGTAAGTCATCGGCCTATGCACATGTTTCTATATATATGGGGCTATTCCCAGCTATGACCAACAATGTGCGAGCCACCCTAGCTAAGATGACTTTCCTGAAGGTGGGACTGTGCTGCCATGATAAGCAGCTTACCAATGTCACGTATGCCATGTTCGCAATTCGTACCCTTGAAGCAGCTGATCACTCGTAGGGACGTACTTGGATACCAGCATATCTGTAACACGCCAGTTACTACGACAGCTCGAGGCCCGTGGCATCTAACCCCGTCAGGGAGCTTTCCCAGTAGCCACGTGAATTATACGTGGCTTCTAACCGCTTCAGGGGGCTTTCCCAGTAGCCAAGTGGATTATACCGCTTCATGGCCATCCATCGCCCACCTACCGTCAAAAACGTCGTACCCGACTCCGCCCGTGGACAACAGTTCGTCTGCGTTCCTAGCTAGAACGCTGGCCATATACATTTCTCTTCTACTCGTGTTAAAAACGGCTCTGGCATAAGAATTTGTCCCTTAAAGCTGATTTTTCTGGATCCTGAAACCAAATCGTAACTATATCGTGGATCAATTTCCATGAACTCGGCCGTGTTCTTATGGACCCCCGATTCAGGGTTAACAGCACGCGGTTCAAGTCAATCGACGTATAGACAGAGGAAGGGTCTAGTTACCTAGCCAAAGCATGCCTTATCTCTGCCTACCATAATTGGTACATTGTCTAGAGAGTGCCTGTCGTCGAAGTGTCTACCTAAGGGCAGTTTAACAGATGAGGAGAGTTCAAATGTGACATATAGGAATTTATGGATTAGCTAGCCTCTGAAATTAGACGTATTTATTGTCAAGATTCGCACGTTCCTTACTTCCGTACTCGGCAAAAGAAAAAGCTATATAGGGTCAGGTAGCCTCCCAAGAGCAGCTTTCGATTGTCGACTCGAAGTTCAGTTCCAGCACGAGGGTAATGAGATCCTCGTACTTATCTTGACTAGGCCATTCGCGGAAAGGCGAATAGCTTGAAAGTGAAATGCGAATTTTTGCCGGACGAGATACTCCATAGTTGTCATTATTTTTGCTCAGATACAAAGTTGCTTCAATTAACGATTGGAGGCATCTTAGTGTCTGACACGGGAAGTAGGTCTCGGGGCTCTAGCTCCACGTATTCATAAATAAGACACATCTCCTCTGTGGTGATGTGTAACGTTATAGGTTCAGCAATTTTTATTGCGCAAACTGTAGGCATCGGCGGAAACCAGCAGTCATGCTTTGGTGGTACCGCTGCACCACAAATAGTTGTCTGCTTGAGTTTTGGCTGTATAGTCTAATCAATACGTGCTGTTGCTAACCGGCTGATGAGCTGATAATCGGACGGTGCATATCCACGTAGCCGCCATGGACGCTTTAACGGCGACGTCCTTGGTCTGGCTAAAATTACGCGACGGTTTATCTTGATGTCGTCGAATACGCCAGTATAGACTAGAGCGAGGTTTTGTATATAGTCGGCATGTGGATATAGATATAATCTTATAATAGCAGTCTGACTCATGCGACGAGATCAGTGAATGGCAATATCCCTCGAGCAAATGTAGCACCTTGCCGTACTACCGTACAGATTAGAACCCATCAAACTTTATCATCAAACAGAGCCGGCAAGTAAGGTATGATTGCTTTTCAAGTTGTGGCTTCCGGCTCGTGGTAACACCTACTAAGCTGTTCATGTATAGACGTGTCCCCATCCTCAGGAAGATGGACAGTGGCACGGTGGTGCGTGAACATGACTCGTGTTGAATTGCTGTTAGATAGTAGTGTCCCACACCTGGCACGATCGGAATGGCATCAGTCAATTGATGAGAATTATCTAAAAAAACAAGAAGCGAGTGAGCGAAAGCACGGAATTGTGCAGTTCTTTGCACACAAATGAAAGGCTTGCTGCCTGCCTACGCATTAGCGGTTGCCTGGCAGGCAACAGCTGCGTTGCGTAATAATATCGCCAATTCATGAATAATCATTCTAGGCAAGCTTAATATGCGACACTTGCTGTACCTTCTCAAGCGCCACCCTCACGGCGGCGAATCTAGGTCTCGAAGCGGTATTCTATTGACGCTTCGAGAAATTAGATCTACCTTCCCTGTTCACGTCAGTTCTCGAGCTCGCAGTCCACCCTTCCCTGACGCAGTGGCCATAGACGAGTTGTCAGTATTGGCGACTGCTCTAAGATCAGTTTACACTTCTGGCATTTGCCCTGTAACGGCTGATTCTGGTTTGTTGGCATTTCTCTTTAGTCATATTTGTCGCCGTCGGATGGTGCGAGTCTGTAAGTAACTAGGCTGGCGTACCATTCGGACGTGAAGCCCTCGGCGGGCCAATGGGCTGCTCCTCCAAATCTGTGGTGCACCGGAAAGGCGCATCAACGTACAGTGCACCTATGCTTACGGCAGACATTTTTTACATGGAGAACATGAGTTATGTGTTCTCTTGGCGTCGATTTCGTGAACCTGCCTGCGCGTAACAGGCGTCCATTTGGGACCTTGGGAGGTTTTGTCATCTTGCGTGCGGTTAGCCTGCACCAATTATGCGGAGAATTGTCCCCACATGACGAGATTACGGTCAGACCGTAATGCAGCATGGTGAAATTGGGTTGGCGCTGCTCCTCCCCTGCAGCCTGTCCCTCTTTGCTCCGAGCACGGACTACTTGTCCCCACGATACACTCGAATGAACCGCACGGCGGAGAGCCATTTGTCTGAAAGTGGATGGCCAGCCACGCTCGCACAGTTCAGAGCTCGCCACCTCAATTGGACATGTTCATTTCAGTTATCGGTCAGTGTTGGACGACGGACTGGGCGTGGTCGTACTTGGGCCAGCCAAATCGTGATTAGCTCGCCTGAAAAGGTGCCGTTTGGACAGTAGAGGCTTCTGACCTTAGTCAAGTGATGCATAGGAACGGGAGGGTTCAGGACTGTCCTCAGAAATTCAACTAGAAACGGCTCTCACACCGTACAAGGACCTGCCACCATGAATGGCACCGGGGTTGCTGCTGCACCACGGTCGTTTGCCCTGAACGCGCTTCTTCCTACAGCCATTTGCCACCTAATCACCATCCTCTACCCAGCGCCATGCTCCCTGCGACCACCAGATCTTGCGCTTCATAAAACCGTGCTCCTCTGCCGTATTAAATGTCACTGAGCTCGCCTCGCAACAGCCGGAGCCACACCTCACCTCCGCCATCCACCATTCGCTAATATGTCCCAGTCTGGTACCATTCAAGCTATTTTAGCAAGGAGTGGCGCGGCGATACCGCACCAGCATCAAGCACGAAATGCGCCCGCGCGGCTGTCGCAACATGGGATCAGGAAAGCGCCGAACAGCGGTATATTGCCGCGGCCAGCAAACAACGGCCTTTCAAACCCTTCAAGTAACTTTGCGGCGCAGCAGATGACTCGTCATGCGACTCTTTCGTACACTGACGCGCACGGTGCAGGCAGCGTGTGGTATGACGACTTGCGCTGCACTACTCCGTTAGGGGGTAAACTGCTAACGCGATCTAGGGCAGCAGACAGCGGCGACATTGGTTCTTTCCAAACGAGGCTCTCCATGTGAGTGGCATGGGCAGTGGGGCAATCTAAACCGGCTCCTGACTGCCTTTTAGCTTGGAAGATTTGGTATTGCTCCAAGATTCACGGTCAGTCGCCGCCCTACTATCACGGATAAAGATGCACGAGGCGACTGACCAGTCGCTAGAATAAAGGAAGCCCAGCGAATGTACGTCATACTCTTGTATTCAAGAAAACAGTATCTTATTACGGCTCTAAAAACAGGGTCAGCGAGCTATTGCAGAACAAGGACGAGTAAGTGTGCTCAACGCCTTGATACGCAGCAGCGCCTAAATATTGTCTAGAGATAAAGATAAAGTGCAACAGGCATGGGACAGCATCAAGTTATTAGTAGAGACGTATCCGCTGCCCGTTCAGGATGCCGTTGATCCAAACCTTGCATATCCGCCGCTTCCCGGCGTGTAGCATGGGGAATGATAGTTTGACGAGTAGGCTTTATATCTCTAAATGGCTTATTCGTATGCTGCTCCTCCGAGTGTTGACCCTAAAAGCAAGGTTTTTCTGCCCGAACCGTCGGAATCTTCGTTCAGTGCGGTGCGACATGGGTGTCAATTGCCACTGTCCCTGCTAGGACTTTGTCTGTCCGCCAAGAATGCGGTTTAGTATATTCTCGCATGCAGTCACTGGCTAAGGCGGTTCAGTGCATACTAGTGGTGGTCTAACACCCCATGAGGTCCACGACGGCGCTTGAGCGTTCGGCCGGCCGCTGCGCTAGATACGCTGCGTGCGGCCCGTTTCCTGATTACTGAAGTGCTGGGAGTAAGTCGCCTTGTTCAGGCCGTAAAGTAGCTGCTGATGGGAATACAACACCGTTGTGCGGATGATTTTCCTGAAGCGGACTGGCTGGTGGGTCCCGGCGGATCGGATCGTAGTGCCCACCAGAAATAATGCCCGTAACGCTTAAGGCTTAGCGGCAGCTTGCCGCCATGCTGTCGCTGTGGACAGTGAAGTGAATGTCCCGTGGGACTGCCCGTGGACGAAACAGAAGCAATATAAACGCATCGCCCTCAATAGTAATACTAGACTGTACTGTGACAATGGTAGATCGTCGAACAGGAATGGGTTCTTTATTGCTGGCCGCCAGTCCGGGCAGCTGAACGGCATTTGGGTCGTGTTTCATATCTTCTATTAGCATTTATCACATTTATCACCAAGATTCGTGACACGAGGGATGATGTGCTAGTACAGGTATAAAAGGCTTACCTACACCAGTCATTGCCTGCATGCCTGGTTCCAATGGCGCTGTGGTCGATCAAATTGTATCACCACGAGTAGTTGAATGCTCGATGTACGTCATTTGACAGCGGGAGCGGGCTCGCCTTTGCTGCCTAACACGGGTAATCTCGGCACGCTGGAGCTGGAGTATAAGTATGGCCTTGTACTCTCCTGCTCTAATGTCTTATTCCTTTTCTTGACAGTCCCAATCATTCCTTCACATCTCACAATGGCGCCTAACCGCCCCCAATTCAGCTCAATAAACAACAATCCATCACTGTGTTCTGCATGGATCAAATCTGAGGGCCGCTGCTGCCAGAGACAGATCTCTGCTTCTGATAAGAAGAAGAGAGACGACCTCTTGCTCGTCTACCAGAGAAACTCGCGCCACTTGAGCATTGAAATGGAGCTAGTTCGACTTTTCTTCTGTAACGGTTGGCATCGTCCTGGAGGGAAATATCCCATCAACGAGTCGGCGCGAGGTAATATCATTCTACTTTTACAAGCAGAAAATACTCATCCGGCGCAACCGCGAGGACATCATGATACCGCTGGCGCAGCGGAGTCGGAAAATAGCTCATCCGTAGCTCGTCGTGCAGACACAGACAATGGGCGTGAGGCTAGGCAATCTTCACCTGCACAACAGCGTCAACCACCTGCCCTCTCTGAGATGCTCTCAACGAAAGGCCCACACGAGCAAGACAGTGGTAATACTGCCTAATCACTCGTTCACCGATTGAAGCTTACCAAGGACACAGAACGTACAACGCCATTTGTTGATACGGGGGCTCCTTCACGACAGCGCAGACAGCAAGGCAGTTTTGACGACAACCGTGGCTACCGCCGGAGCGCCCGAATCCAACAGCAGCAGCGTGCGGCTCCTATTCCCGCTTCGACAGCAAGTCCCCACCCGGCACTTCTTCAAGGCGACGAAACTCATGTTGCACCTTTCATTACACGCCGTAGTCCACGACGACTACCGGCTCGAAACTTTGCACCGGCGTCGGTCGGGCGCGTTGATCCCAGACTTTCCCAGGCGGTCGAAGTCACGAAGGAGTGCCCAATTTGCAGAGATGAGCTTGCCACTGCGCAAAATGTGGCTAGATGCCGCAGCTGCAGCAATGACTATCACATCAAATGTGTATTTACTTGGCTCTCAGCTAGCCAGAAGTGCGCCACCTGGTAAGGGTCCTCAGTTGTGAAACCTTGCCCTTCGCTAACATCGAAAGCAAAGCCGGATGGAGGTATCTCAAGCAGATATAGATGGACTCAGGGACATCACTGCTGTCGAAATCTATTAGCGTGCAATAGCTCGTTGCTGAAGTTCGTCTACTCGGCAAGGCTCAATGGCAGTAAAGAATTGGCACCCCCTTAGTCCAGTATAAAGGAGCGCACTCTCTATAACCTGTATGTGCGGCGATATTGGGCCGTCATTTATCCGTCACTAGTGAATGTCATATCAACTCCAGTCCGAAGCCGATCACTGTTTACTACTTTTACGAACCCGCGTCCTGAAGTATCTAGTCCCTCTCGACTTCATTACTCGCGGGTATCAGTCTGACCTTATGTGCCACTGCCAACTTGCCTTCATTGAAATGATTTTGTTCAGCGACGCTTCTTTGCTTGCACCGTGTCCCGGCGAGAATACCTCTCCTCAACAGCGAAACGTTAACTGTCAACCCGTGACTTCATCACAGAAAGTTCGCCTGCGGCTAATCCTGCCTCGTCATTCCGCTCCCGAGTAGTCCAAGCGACGAGACTTTTTCCCAACATGGTTAGACTCCTCCCACCTTAGCGAGCCAATACAGTCACGGACCCTCGTGCCTTTAAATAGGCACGGACCCGTGTCCCTCTGTAATTGTCGCTGATTGGGCCACAAGACGATTATGTGAGCAGCCAAACTTCAAAAGGGGAGCCAGATTCGCAGTCAAACTGCAAGCGTGACTACCAACTTGGCTACCAGCTTGTCAAACCAATAGGTCCGCAGTGTCATTTGAGGAGCAAGAATTCAATGAAAGGCTGCGCAAAATCGTGCATCTTGCTCAGAAAATTGACATAACTATTGTTCTTCCGGGATAGTGGCAGCTGCTGCAGGAGTAGGGCGTCCTGGCCGTTGCGCGACATAGCATGACTACAAGCATAATCGCCAACTATATGCCTTGTCCAGGTGTCTCTCTCAATAGAGTATTTCTCTAGCGCCATTCTGAATCTTTTCAGCCGTCTGGTTGTCGCCCTCCTTCAGTATGAATTAATATGCAATATTGTTATAGTACTTGACGACAGTGCTCCGCTCTTAAGGACATATGCAAGCCTTTTTTTTATATCTAGCGGAACCAGCGAGAGGCTATTCAGGCCTTTGGCAGCATTCCTGTAGTGACCATATTTGCTCGAGAATTTCAATCCGCGGAAATGCGTATATATCAGACAAGGTACGAAACATATCTAATGTAGCATCTGAATCATATCTAACCACCCCGCCTCATGCCTCAAGCGGCACGAGTCGCGAGTGTATTTGTATGAGCTCATCATTACTGGCTTGCAGTAAGAACGAATAGTCATGATACATTTATTAGCAAGCTATAAAAGGTCCTCTATCGATACATGAAAAGCATACAGCCTGTTAATCTTGTCCAAATTTCTCTCGCTATTGGCTGCTTACAAATGTGGACTATCAATCGGACACAAGGCTTTCCTGTTGAAACTGGCTCATATTATGGGCTATAGCTGGTCTCAAAATTGAAACAAGCATCCAACCCCGACATCTAGTGTCCGTGCCCTCAACGACTTCCAATATCCACCATCCTCCACGGTCGGCCTCGCGGCCTATCGAGCGACTGAAATGCGAAATGCTACTGCTGGGAGGGCTGCTACGGCAAAGCGAGCTCGTCCAGTTAGAGGGAGGGGAAGATGCAAAAATGGGTTATTTCTACCTCTTCGGACGTACAATATGTGCCTTTTTGTTCGCTCGAAGTTGTTTATAGAACAAGTCGAGCGAGCGTGTCCTCGACCGCCTTTTTCTCTCGCGTACTGCCATCGGCATTTGCGTTGGACTGTTCGTGACTGGGATGACCATCGGCCACGTCTTTCGAGCATCTGCGAGTGCCATGGCGCTCTGACTTAGCGCCGCGATGGCAACCCTGGTCGCCAGCACCGGCGCCAGCAGTATGGCCCTTGCCCAACCCATCGCATAAGTCCAACTCGTTCCGCAGTGACCTGAGGCTGTGCATAAAGTCATCGACCGCTGGAACTGCGCTCTTCAAATGGGCAGCAAATACATAAGGGTGAAAGTTTTGAGGCAGGTGAATGTGCACGCCGCAGCAGTGACACGACGAGTAACTCATCGCATCGTTCACTGCCGTGCTGCAATGGACTGCCATGTCCGAGACGGACTGCCGCCGAGGGCTCTTATCTGATTTATATTTCCGCGCTCCGTAGTCGTCGATGCCAGTCTTTTCGTCTCGGTAGGAGCTGCCGCTGGAGTTTGACGCCAAAGACCCCGATGTGAGTGGTGGCTCTTCGGCATCTTTTTCTTTGCGCACGAAATCGCGCAAGTTCCCTTCGCTGTCGTCGCTTTGCCAGTCGCTGCCTAGATATGTTCAGTGGTGGTGAACGGCACGGTGGCGCAGAAATATGTTTACCTGACGCTTCTTCTTCTCGCACTTGGAGACCAAGCATGTCGAAAAAGGTGAGGTTGGACTTGCCCATAGTTCACGCTTTATGGATGTGATTTCACCGACACTTATATGGCCGGTCGCCTCGGAGTACTCAGGGTACGGGCCGAACTGTCAGATATGCATGCTTCTAAATATACCTGCAATCCGTTTAGTGTGCAAGCCCTTATGTTGACACTGTGCGTAGTCGCCCGCAGCCGGTTCCCCTCGTGTGCACGCCTTCAGCCGTCTAACACCTTGCCCTGAAATGGCCGCTGCCTGGCGTTCGGTTCTGGAATGGGGCTCTAATTGGGTACAAATGACCGACAGGGGCTGCCCTAGTGCACTAATGGCCACAGGGTGTTGCGCGAGCAACATGCAGGGGCCTCCGGCCAAATGCCGACCTGCAGCAACTTCGAGAATACGGGCGCGATCTCCTCTCAACCAACGCGCAATCAGACTTCCGCCCGTGTCGTAGGCGTGCCGTAAGTACACCGTAGTGCCCGTAAAGAAATTGTACCTGTCGCACCAGTCACCAAAAGTGGAAGCAACCTCCGCTAGAGGCGACCGGTACAATAGTATCATGGTACATGTAGACACCGAGAACAGTACCTGGCGGCAAAATGGCGCGTATAGCTGAACAGCTGGCAGTCGCATCGATAGGGATGACGACGGAATGAGCAAAACAAAGTTGTGGGAGTACCGGCTCATTGTACCATTTATAGGGCCTAATGCTGATGACCAGCGGCGAAGGTCTCGATGAGTTGGAAAGAGACATGGTGGAAATTTTCAACTACATTCTCAGCGACGAACAGCTTGAGGATGCAACAGAAGCAAGCACAGCGAGAACTAGGGCCAGGACTGTTGGTTATCCAGGGCACAAGCGAGGCATCTTGGGCTTGGTCGGTGCCGTGAAGCCATGCGATTTGAAAAATGCGACTAGACACCTCACTGACAATACAGCTCACAAAAGTCGACGCAGGGGACCCTCGCGCGGTAGCAGCTAAAGCAAGGGCTTTAATATGAGACGATGGGATGAAGCTCTTCTCGGTAACGTTGCAACCCATTATGGTCGAGAAATGTTTTGAGGATGCGATAGACTCTGGACTGAATACATCATGGTCCTTCTCGCAAACGATTTGGAAATATCGGTCGCTCTTCGGCGGGCTGCTGGTCGGTTACGTCCAGAGGAGTGGTAGCTGGCTGATGCGTTTGCGCGGTGCGCAAATGCATGACCACATAATCGGTGTTGCCATGCTTTACCTATAGCTGACTTCCCCCCGCCTGGCGTGCAAAGCCAGACAGAACTGGCGAGGCCACTTGAATCGATCAAGTCAGACATTGCAGTAATCAATATATATTGATAAGTATGGGCATATTTATTGTTAAGCTTATCAATATCGATAACAATATGGAAGTCCCCTATCAATATGTATTGCTAATATGCCCCTATTTTGACTTGAATGCCTGTTTTAGGCGTACTTACTTTTTCCACACGTCAGCCGTAGCGCTGAGGAAAGGGGCTCGGCACAGAATGGGAGCATTCTTTCGTTCAAGATTCTCCATGCCCTCCATTTTGGTGATCGAAGTGCACGCCCCCTCGATATCTCAGCTTTGGCAATGGAAGACTACGTATCCCGTGTGCCGGAAGTTGACATCGCATCGAACCCTTCGTCATCAATTTTGCCTTCCGATAGTGTCTCGCAATCTGCCAGTATACCTTCAGAATCGGAGCATTCCCCTCCGGCAGCAGTCAAGAGGAGGAAGTTGAGAGCGACGTCGACTTGGCATCACTTTCGACAGGCTCGAGGCGATGAGCCACGCACGGCAGGTGGCAATTTACTCCACTACTGCAAACGTTGTCGCAATCCATCGTGGTCAACCCACATTTCTGGCAACGCCCGCTATCATCTCGAAAAGGTTCATCACGTACAAGTCAGAGAAGACACGAATGCTCGATGCAAGCGTCAAGTAGCCATCGAGAATGCCTTCGCGAGAACAAGCGAAAAGCAGCTGAGGCTGACTCAAGAGAGCGAGGTCAATATTTTGCGGAGCGTGATCAATGTCGATGCTTTCCGAGAGGCACAGATGCTACTTTCCGCGAATAGGCATCTGCCACTGAGCTGCGCGACGTGGCCAGAGTATCAGGCACTTTGACCGCGATCAACCCCGCAGTCGAGGAGTTCCTCGTCGACTCTAGCAACACGGTCGCTTCGGATCTAGATAGGGCCTACGACACGCATCAACAATCCGTCTGTCGGTGGCTCGAAGGCGCTCGGAGTCTTGTGCATATCGCAATGGATGTATGGTCTTCTCCTCAACGCAAGGCATACATCGCTGTTCATGCGCAATGGGTCGACGAGGCATACAAGCCTCGCAAGGCATTGCTGGGATTGCCAAACCTGCGACGGTCGCACGCGGGCGCAGCGATGACGCCGCACCTACTGAAGATCATCCGGAGATACGGCATAACACAAAAACTCGGCTATTTCACCGGGGACAATGATGCTAAAATGACACTTGCCTCCGTCAACTTTCTGCCGATTTATCGCAAGAGCATGGGCTGACCTTTGATCCAATATCCTCTCGAACGCGGTGCGCTGGCCACATCATTAACCTTTCCCTGCAAGCCTTTCTCTTTGCGACCAGCGAAAGTGCACTTCAGGCCGCCGTTGAACAGGCGGACGATGAACTGAATCAAACTACTGTTGCAGACGCCTTGCATGACCACCTCCATTCAGAATCTACGCCAAGAACTCACGCCCAGCGCAGGAAAAGAAATGACATTGCCGGTTGGCGGAGTATCGGTCCAATGGGAAAACTTCACAACATTGCTGTGTTCATTCGCAACTCTACAATTCACAACGACGCATGGGACGACATTGCGGGGAAAGCCCTCGGTATCGACAACATCACGCGCTGGAACTCGTGGTTCAAGCTGCTTGATGCCGCCATCAGCCAGGAAGGCCCATTGTCGGTCTTCGTCAATCAGTATCATCGAGAGCTTGAGGACGACATCCTGACTCATGATGACTGGCAAGTATTGAAGATGACACACGAGTTCTTGCAGCCGTTTCACCAGGCCACCATGGAGCAGCAAATGGCCTGGGCTTCAATAGATCAGGTGCTAGAGAACATGGACATACTCTTCGTGCAATTCGAAGACGCAAAGGTCAGTCGCAGACTCTGCAAGTATTGCCTTCGGGCTGAAGAAGAGAAGCTCAACTTCGATGCAGGTCAAGTATGCCGAAAACGCCCACATGGTAAGCTCGGTTCACATGGGCTGGTGGGTTCTTTCAAAGTATTACGAAGAAACCGACAAAAACCCCGTGTATGCCACGGCACTTCTGCTCCATCCAGAAAAACGGCGGAGGTATCTCGACCGTCATTGGGCACCAGAGTGGCGGCAGACAGCCATTGCTGCAGCGCAGCGGCAATGGGCGAAGTATAAGGACAGACCGATTTCGTCGGAGAGAACCGTGCGACCCAGTTGTGAAGCGCGAGAGGTCGCTTCTTACGAGCGCATAAGGCAGTCAATGAGTGTCCTGGATGAACCTGGCGATGAAGACGAGTTTGAGAAATTCATCAATGCTCCTCCGAGACATATGCTGACTGCCAATCCGCTTGAATGGTGGTGTCGTGAGGAGCAGAGAGCCGAGTATCCACGCTTGCATCAGATGGCCCTTGACATACTCAGCGTCCCAGCGATGTCGGACGAGCCGGAGCGGGTGTTCTCTTGCACAAGGCGGACACTTTCTTGGGATCGAGCTCGACTTTCCGCGGACAGGACTGAAAAGCTGCAATGCTTGGGTAATTGGGTGAGGAACGATTTGATTCGCAAACTGTACGTTGCGGTTGATGACGAGATCATGGATGTGGGCGGCGCCAACGGAGACGGAGATGAGCATTCAATGTTATATTAATAATTATTGATAAGCTTAACAATACATATCAATATAGCCACACTCCTAACAATACATAACAATATGCCAAAAATATGTATTTATTTATTATTGCAATGTCTGCGCAGAAGTGAACGCCGTACCCATCGCCACTATTGTCTGCGGCAATTATTGGCTTCCGTTTTGTACAACAATAGCCATTTCCGAATGGGTTAGCTACGTAGCCAGTGAACCGTGGAGTGATGGACGACTCACTTGAGGCCGCCATATGGGATAGTTCCCAGCATCTTTCATGTAATACGGACTAAATCAACCGGGCCAGGGTCCAGAAAACGCAACAAGAATGCAATGGGGTGTGGATAAATGTACTGTAGCGCTGCTGAACAGCAGCGAAGACTAATTCGGCGCCTGTACTTTGCTGTAATATAGCTTGACTGAAAATTGAAACCCCAACAAAGTCACATCGCGTGCGTCTTCACCTTTTTTTTTGAGAATATTGTAGTCTGGAGTAACTTTGGTATCGCCTAGGTGTACCAGTAGCAGAGCATCCTCCTGTGACTCTAGGGTTGCCCCAGCACGTTATAATTCGTCAAAAGAAAGACACTTGTACCGCCCGTGCTAGTCAGCGCCACGACGAGCAATCTCCTAATTCATTGTCTTCTTGAAGTTAGATATGTTTATTTATCATCTATATACGTCTTGCAAGATCACCCTCAGTCTATTTGCGAAGTATTTGCTGTCGCTTAGCAATGAAACAACAAGCTGAACAGTGGCAGGTGCGAATCAATTATCGTCGAACATCGACACAACGCGATTCTCTGACGACCAGCTGCCAGAAAGAGCGCAAATGCAATCATGGCTTCACTGTCTCGCGAACGTAAAACTACAAACTTAAAGCGCGAATTCCATTGCTAACACGCAAACTTCTCAAAAATAGTGAATGGAAAGCCATTAGTCGAACCGGCCGACTCACTCAGATTTAACACGCGAAGCCTCCTGATGATCTTTTTCGTCGACCACCTTGGCTCTTACCGGTCGCTCTGAGACTAATCCTGGTGTGAGGCTTTTAGTCAGACCCTCAGTTCTACCCCCGTTGGCTCCAATTCGATCAAATCTTCGCTCCATCCTTACCGCTGTTTCGATGATCAAGCGGTCCGCCTTATGCCTCTTGGTGCTTTGGTTTAAGATGATGTGGTCTCCGTACGTAAGGTTATCCTTCCCGGGGATCTTCTGCGGGGCTTTTGGATACAAATAATCTTTCGCAGCGCCTCGTCTTTCCCATGACTCTGGTCCGTTATTGTTCTTCCATCTCACCTTGATAAACATATTCCTTGAACTCGACGCCCACTGATCTTCGGCCAACGATTCCATGCGGCCAAAACCTGGGACATCCTTCCATGCCACACCTACGATCTTGTATATCGTACCTTTTTCAGCAGAACGATCGACTATCAAGGATTTTGATTCAAAGTTGGAAGATGGATTGCGCAGAATCTCGGAACTAAATCCCTTCCCAATGTAGTGGATGGAGTAGCGCGGCGCAGACTCGTAACCATGGCGATAAACGCCATAATAGACCCCCCAACCACCCTTGAAAGCAAATTCAAGCGTTCCAAGAGCTTGGGACAATGACATATCGTCAAAAGCACGGACGAGTCCAATATTGTCGTCATCACCATCATCTTGGGGCTCTTCTCTAGAAACAAGGGGCATGTCGGGCTGCAAGCCGCTATTCCACCCCGATGGCTGTTGCTGTTCAGACTGGGTCCTAGACGAATGATCAATTGTGGCTCCGGAGTTTGCGGAGTTTTCATCTACGAATAAGCCTTTTTCTTGTGTGATGCTCGATGGTTGCCCTTGTACCTCGGTGCCGGCTCCTTGAGTTTCGGTTTCGGCTCGTTGCTCATCGATGTCTACAGGTGACTCAGCATCCCCATCCAGCGTCATAGCATTATCCCCATCCAGCTCCATAGCCGCTGATTTGGCGTCATCAACAAGCTTCCTTGTGATTTGTATCTGACTCTCAATATGTTGCTTCTCTTTGTCATCAGCATCCTCGTATTTCTTCTCGAGGTTTCTGAGCTGCTCTTGCAACTGTTCCTCATTCTTTTTGACGGCTTTTTGCGTCAATCTTTTACTGCTGATGCCTGCGTTTGCCACAGATGCGCCTTTCCGAACTACAGGGTTTTTTTTCTGGGGCGCCATGGTGGGTTTGCTGAAGATATTGCAACTTACTAGGAGAGATGAGGCCCATTACTTATATGTGTAAGTAAGTAATGAGGACTGCGCTGCTTCGATGACTAGTTTCTGGTCTGAGACTCTTTGCGACTGTTAATCTACAATGGGTCCAAACTATATAGTGTTCAGGTAGAAAACAAAGTGTAAAAGCCAACACGCTAAATATGCACTCGATGTGCACTCGATGTGCACTCGATGTGCACTCGATGTGCACTCGATGTGCACTCGATGTGCACTCGATGTGCACATGTCCTGAACCTGGCAAGCTCTTTGTCCATAAGTGACCTTCCCTTAGAAGAAACGGAATGGTTAATAAAGTGTGATCAAAGTCCCTTGGATGCATGATACGCCTGCGGTATGCAGTGATGCCACAATGCCAGAACGCAATCGTCGTCATGATTCCAGCAATGTTGGCCAAGACTACCACACTGAACTCGTGACTGTAGAAAGCGAACCAGTAAAGTACTTATCTAAGTATGACGAACAGATCCTTCACATTGACAGGGAAATTGAGCCCTGGTTTTTCATCTCCGCTGGTATTTTTACCTGGCTACTACTAGCAGGATTCCTGATGTCTCCTTCGACGTACGCTTCTATGCAGGAATCTAGCGCTCTCCAGAAGACTGGCCTAGTAGGAAAGTCTGTAATGACCGCCGTCCGCAATGTTCCTCTGATATACATAGCTTGCTTTGCTTGCCTAATCGCAACGGTCGGGCTGGTGATTCTTTGGCTCAAGTGGAAAAACAACTTCATTTGGGTTAATCGCTACTTGGTCGTGTAAGCAAACAAGCCTATATGATATGGAACCATACCTCCGTTGCCCTAACATTTCAAAGTCCAACATTGATGCATTCAGCCATGGGCTTAGGATCGAGTCTTCTAAATGTCTACAGCATGCAGGATGGGCAGTGGTCTATTACTGCGGTCGTTACTGTTGTCGTGATAGGGTTGTGGTTTGTTCTATCCATAGCTCTGTTCATTGTGTACGACCGCATCATGATGCCTGCGCTAAAGAAGCAGCGCTGGTTGCCTGTTGCTGAGGAAAGGTAAGCGAACCGATGCTTATGTCAGAGGCCGCTAAAGCCATGCTATGCTTCAATGCTATATTATCGCGTTCTACGCTGGGCTTTGTCGAGGAGGGCCTAGATCCACTATAGATTGATGGTATATTACTACACCGGTACGGTTCTGTAGCCTGGAATACGCTGTTGCTCAACCAACGACCTGACTGGGCCAAGGCTGCCTAACCGGGCCAGAAAACCATGACGATATCACCTTCATTATCCGCGCAGGCAGAGCCTCAAAAAACCAGAGTAGTGAAGATCGACCATGCGCAGTAGATGGTCTCTGCAACACACCTAAGGAACATTATGCCACACAATTAAGAGCCAGGACTCTGCGACGGCACACTTCAATGTGAGAGCGTGAACTTAGGAATTAGTTCGGCCATGAGTCGTTAAGCTAGCGAAGGTGACCTCGTTCTTTGAACAGCTCTATCCTTGCCACTAGACGAGGGAACCCCCTCTTTCTTCTCTTTATTTTGTCATGAACTTCTCACCAGACCTTTCTTTTGTCATGAACCTCTCACCGGACCCGTCTAGGTGAAGGGTATAGCTTAAGGGTTACCCCGGGTTAATTGAAGCCCCTTTGGCAGTCTCCGACGACGGTCTTATAGAGACCTAGAGAATGGCAGACTCCATGCCGCGCCGGGACATCCGGCTGACGGCCACTAGGCTTGACACGGAGCGCCTCAGAGCCGATAAAATGCTGGATAGTGCTTGATTACATTTCGCGACTGGAGAATAGGAGACACGACGGGATTATCTCCGGGAAGCCACCACAACCTGTATCGATAACGTAGCATAGCACGTCCTGTGCCCCTAGGGACCCGAGCAGCATCGCGGCCGTTGGACGGAAAATACATCAATCAATCAATCAAGCCGCATACAGGCAGGAACGGCTTCACCGACTACTAATCCCACCTTACTCATTCAGACGAGACGTGAACGAGACGGAGACCGACAATCTGACAGCTCGGCTACGAGCTTGTCAGCGGGGAAGGTCGCCCTTTACGTAATGTCCTTGTATCCTTGATCGCACAGCAGGAGTAATAAAGAGCGAACGGCCCCAAGCATTTCTCATCGTCGTCCGCGATTATCCCTTACATTGAAGCATTTGAACAGGTCCATCATGGCTAGCCAGGGACCCACCACTGAGGAGCTCAGGCAAATCCAGAGGCGGATAAGCGACATAATGCGCAGATACACGATAGAGCAGGAAGAACGCCAAATCTTGCTCAATCTTATCCAGAATGTGTCAAGCGCCAACATACAACTAATGTCTCAGAAGGTCTCGAAATCGAAGGAGCGCAGACGACAGGAAGAAAGTGCCACCATGGAAAAAACATTGCGCATATGAAGCAGGATCTCGCCGAAAAGGAGGCGGAGATTGGAAGGCTGTGGATGAAATTGGCCGAGATACAGGAGCGTGAGAGGGAGTTGACTCGTTAGGCGGACTTGCTCCAATGTTTTTGTCGTCATTTCATTAAGTTGACGAATTTTCTGAGCCCGATGAACTTCGACGAACAGTCCATGTTTAACAAGATACTTGGTGTAGCGTTGAGAGTTTCGTATTTGAAGCTTAGCTCGTTGTGCAAGCACCCGGTTCTCATCTTTCTTGAGAAAGTCGTTAACCACCGTCTCTCTGTATGTGTTAGATCCGTATACGTGTTCAAAGATGGACATCTGGTATATATTCAGGAGTTTAGAGGGGTGCCGAAAGATTTCCATAATGGGCGACACTTTTTGCACGAATTGATGCTGCATGGCTTCATCTTCCAATCCCTAGTCTTAACAAAGCTGGGTGCAAGTGCCCGATGAGTTCCTCATTTCCATATGAGGTGTGCGGAATTCTGGAAAAATATCGCGTCGGGGAACACCGGTGTAGGAAAGGAGGGTATCGGGATCGTGTCCCATAATCCAAGGTGGCGGCGTGAATAATTGCAGCGGAATCGTACCGGAAAACTCCCAGTCAATGATTGCGAGAATGTGAAAGTCATCGTCGACGAGGATGTTGCCACATCTGAGATCCGGGTGGGCGAGTACGAATGAAGGGCTGGGCTCTTTGAAGTCGATGCACTTGGGTATCTCCTTCAGTAGACTGTCCAATGCGAACAGTTCCATCTTTGTTTGGTTGAGGCTGGGCTCCTGGACGGGTTGCTGAATCGTCTCTGACAAAAAGTTGCAATGATAATCTGCAAATTGCGCCGTGGATGTGAAAATCCTTGGGATGGCCATCGTTGCGAAGCTTCCTGCGACTCCATTATCAGCTATTGAAAGGAAGGGGCCAATTGTGGGATTTGCTTCATCGATTAAATTCGGCATCAGCGAGCCTGCCGCAGAAAACTCAAGATTGCGTAGCTGCCCAAGAGCATTAATAAGATCGATATATAGATTCTTCCTTTCTGGTTTTGCAGTATGTATCCAAGTATCAATATCAAGTTGCCGCCCGGATATGAATTCCATAATCATAAATGGCGTTGAAGCACCTTGCACCAACGTGTCGTCTTCTCCGTATGCGTGGACGCAAGGGATGCGAATCGAAGTGTTACTTTCAATATATCTGCGTGGGTGATTTCGTCACCAGAATTCCATCGAACAGGTGATGAGATAGCTCACCGCATCGTAGCCACCTCACTCAAGAGCTTGTCCCATGCATCACGAACCAGAGGCACGATTGGAATCCTCAAAACCCACGTATTTTCGTTGGGCTCGAAGCGAACAAAGAAGCAGATGTTAAAGCTGCCTTGATTCTCATCAATGATGCTGCAAGCTCCCTCCTCCTCCACAGTACTTAGAGGCCACATGGCAGACGGCATCCTTGTCGATTAGTTGGATGAATGCACCGTTCTTGGCTTCAACTTGCTCCTCTGTGAGGGGGAAGAAGATTGAAGCTTCTTGTTCGATCTGAGCGCTGGATACCTGACTGTCTGTGGCAGCGGGGTCGTTTTCCTTCTCCTGGCTTGGTGGTGTCGATGGCAGAGTCGATGGCAGAGTCGATGGCAGGCTGTCCGGGGAGTCAAGTCCAGCTGACTCGCGAGCTCGAAGGCCAAGGAACAGCCTTGCCAAACGTGCGGACAGTGACGTCAATTGTACATGACGAAAGAAAAGTGGCGCACGGCACAGTCGTATGAACTGTGCGGACAATGACGTCCATTGCGCCTGGAAAAAGCGTAGTGGCATGGATGCCACTCTTTTGCTCGGCTGCCTCTGGTAAACTGAATGGAGGGAGTCGAAGTGTCCTTTGCTTAGGCAGGAGCTACCCCCGGTCACGAGATCCAGAGCTACGGAGCCACATATGTAGTATCTTAACATTTCACGACTTCTATGGTAGCCCAATTTGTTAGCAAACTGAGGTAACGCTCTTTACGCGCGGCATTTCAGGGGTCAGCCGAGTCAGGGCATGACTGCAATTACCCCCTGACTAAGGCATCGCCTCCTTAGCTATGGGACACCTGAAGGACTTGAGTCAAGTATAGAAACTTGTCAATTCACCCGAATAGAGGGTCGGACCGGGTATCTGTACAAGTATAAAGGGAACCTTCTGCCCAGTAGCTAGGCCGTGACATGCATCACTAAATACACATCTTTGATCCCCCCCTTATGCTTCTTCTATGCTGTCAGCCGAGTCGCTGACAAATAGTCATGCAACTGCATCAAAATGTGGAAATAATATAAGAAGGCATATCGGTAAGGACAGGTCACGCAAGGAGATAGGTGTTCACTACCAGTCCCTTCGCCGCCACTTGCCCCGACGCTTGTTTTCCCGCAGCAAGGACTTGCATTGTTGGAGGCTATTATTGCAAGCAGTGGAGACATTCTCGGCTAGAGCCGCAATCACTTAGACCTCGCATTAGAGTACGGTCGAAACGGATTGTATTTCATGGTGACATTGATAGATTTGACTGAATGCGATTGCCTTGTAGTAATGTTTCTGACAGCTTATCTCAACGTTAAAGCCGACCGTGTTGTCACCGCCGCCGGAGGCTGCTTGGCCGGGCTGAAACGCGTTGCACCGTTCGTGTTCGGATCACGCAGGTGGGCAAGTATGTGGTCTTTACGCGACTTGGTCTCCTAGGAGCCCCGATTCTCTTGCCGGTCGGGAGCTGCTGTATCGACCGTCGCCTTTTTTACCTCTTGCGAACCATGCGTAGGAGACATCCCTGCCACCCATTCCTCCGCTACGTCCCTTTCAACATCTTTCTTAGGTGCTGCTGATTCCTGAATCAAAGGCAGCAAATTCGGGATGCACCGTTTCAAACGTGGGTGGCTATTTGAGATCAGTTGTGGTCTCCGTCGCTCAGATCCTCGCGTATTTGCGGTGCGTTCCATCGTCAGTTGATTCATACTGTACCTACTCTTGTCGGCTGAAGACTAAATTCGTAGTATCGGAGCTATTTAAATGCTTGTATGTGCAGTCGCTGCTGCTGCGGCAGTATATCGTGGTTATAGCTGTGACTAGATATGCTGCGGTACAATTTACAGTGGCCACAGTTTGTCTCCCGTTCGTCAGCTTCACGACTTGTATCGTTCCGGCCGGCGAGGCCAAATGTCTTGCAATAGACTGTCTATCGCCCCGGCATTCGAGTGGGGAACATTGGTTTTCCATATAATGAAAGCAGACCGGTAGGGAAAGTGAGCATGTACAGCAGCAATGGCCGACTGTAACGAGTTTGAACAATTTGCACGCGGCGCATTTCCATGTGATTCGCTTCCTCTAGTACATTCTGCCTTAAAGTCTCTTGAGCGGCGGTATCCGAATGCAGAGGATCCCATCCCACACACTAGCACGGAATGGGAAGAGTACGCTCTTCGAGTTTCAAATACCCCTCCGGCAGACTTGTCATCGTCGCTGTTGAAACTCGCCAGGGGGGAAAGTCTTGACGTTGAGATAGTAAGGGAATACCTCGAACTTCTCCGGCAAGACGTCAGCTGCACGAAAATTCTCGACGTGCGGGATCTGCGAGAAGGCGCAAGTATCGCCGCTAATGAAGGCTCTCAAGAGCCAGTGATTATTCCGTATCATGATGACAATCAGTGGGCCTTTGCGGTCGCATACGACGATGTCATTCACTGGTACGATAGCAAATCACGCGACGTACCTATATCCTCCGCAAGTGGCTCCAGAAATGTTGTCACGAATTGGACGGGCCCCAAATCAGATGCTGCTAATTCTGGCGCTGTTATGCTTTTGGGTATTCGGTGCCTACAGAGGGGGTCCCCACATCGCAGTCAACGCGTCGCTGAGGGGATGGTGTCATCTTTCCGCTCCTATGTTTTGGTCGAGCTTCTTTGCCAGAAGCTAAACCCAGCTGTGGAGGATTTTGAACAGCTCCTAGTGCAAGAGAGGGAAAACGAGTCGCTTTTCTTCCTCGATGCAACCCACGGTATGGACGAAGACTCCCGGCATCCAGCTGTTGCCCCTATCATGCCTCCAGAATCCGGCACATCCGTCATGGCGGCATGTTCACCAAACTTGAATCTGGGTTCTGAACAACCACACCGCGTACCCGTGCCACGCCCCACTTATTTCGCGTTCGTTCCTCACCAGCTCCATAAGCTGGTGCTGGACACCGCAGTAGCCAGTACACCGCAATAGCCAGATTTTTCACCGTCTGCCTTCAATCTGCTTTGTTCCACCCACGTCACTTCGTTTTGCATCAAGGAACATGGAAGCGCGTATTCTAGAAGCGATGCAATACATCGGCGATGTCCCTGATGCAAAAGTCGCCAATGTGGCCCGACAATTCGGTGTTCCACGCAATCGATTGCGTTACCGCCTCGAAGGCCGTCCTCCTAAGCAGACATCTCAGTAATCAATATATATTGATAAGTATGGGCATATTTATTTTTAAGCTTATCGATATCGATAAAAATATAGATGTCCCCTATCAATATGTATTGTTAATATGCCCCTATTATGCTCTGATTGCCTGTCTTAGGCGTACTTACTTTTCCCACTCGTCAGCCGTAGCGCTGTGGAAAGGGGCTCGGCACAGAATGGTAGCATTCTTTCGTTGAAGATTCTTCATGCCCTCCATTTTGCTGATTGAAGTGCACGCCCCCTCGATACCTCGGCTTTGGCAATGGAAGACTGCGTATCCCGTGTGCCGGAGGTTGACATCGCATCGAACCCTTCATCATCAATTTTGCCTTCCGATAGTGTCTCGCAATCTGCCAGTATACCTTCAGAATCGGAGCATTCCCCTCCGGCAGCAGTCAAGAGGAGGAAGTTGAGAGCGACGTCGACTTGGCATCACTTTCGACAGGCTCGAGGCGATGAGCCACGCACGGCAGGTGGCAATTTACTCCACTACTGCAAACGTTGTCGCAATCCATCGTGGTCAACCCACATTTCTGGCAACGCCCGCTATCATCTCGAAAAGGTTCATCACGTACAAGTCAGAGAAGATACGAATGCTCGATGCAAGCGTCAAGTAGCCATCGAGAATGCCTTTGCGAGAACAAGCGAAAAGCAGCTGAGGCTGACTCAAGAGAGCGAGGTCAACATTTTGCGGAGCGTGATCAATGTCGATGCTTTCCGAGAGGCACAGATGCTACTTTCCGCGAATAGGCATCTGCCACTGAGCTGCGCGACGTGGCCAGAGTATCAGGCACTTTTGACCGCGATCAACCCCGCAGTCGAGGAGTTCCTCGTCGACTCTAGCAACACGGTCGCTTCGGATCTAGATAGGGCGTACGATACGCATCAACAATCCGTCTGTCGGTGGCTCGAAGGCGCTCGGAGTCTTGTGCATATCGCAATGGATGTATGGTCTTCTCCTCAACGCAAGGCATACATCGCTGTTCATGCGCAATGGGTCGACGAGGCATACAAGCCTCGCAAGGCATTGCTGGGATTGCCAAACCTGCGACGGTCGCACGCGGGCGCAGCGATGACGCCGCACCTACTGAAGATCATCCGGAGATACGGCATCACACAGAAACTCGGCTATTTCACCGGAGACAATGATGCGAAAAATGACACTTGCCTCCGTCAACTTTCTGCTGATTTATCGCAAGAGCATGGGCTGACCTTTGATCCGATATCGTCTCGAACACGATGCGCTGGCCACATCATTAACCTTTCCTGCAAGCCTTTCTCTTTGCGACCAGCGAAAGTGCACTTCAGGCCGCCGTTGAACAGGCGGACGACGAACTGAATCAAACTACTGTCGCAGATGCCTTGCATGACCACCTCCATTCAGAATCTACGCCAAGAACTCACGCCAAGCGCAGGAAAAGAAATGATACTGCCGGTTGGCGGAGCATCGGTCCAATGGGGAAACTTCACAACATTGCTGTGTTCATTCGCAACTCTACAATTCACAACGATGCATGGGACGACATTGCGGGGAAAGCCCTCGGTATCGACAACATCACGCGCTGGAACTCGTGGTTCAAGCTGCTTGATGCCGCCATCAGCCAGGAAGGCCCATTGTCGGTCTTCGTCAATCAGTATCATCGAGAGCTTGAGGACGACATCCTGACTCACGATGACTGGCAAGTATTGAAGATGACACACGAGTTTTTGCAGCCGTTTCACCAGGCCACCTTGGAGCAGCAAATGGCCTGGGCTTCAATAGATCAGGTGCTAGAGAACATGGACATCCTCTTCGTGCAATTCGAAGACGCAAAGGTCAGTCGTAGACTCTGCAAGTATTGCCTTCGGGCTGAAGAAAAGAAGCTCAACTTCGATGCAGGTCAAGTATGCCGAAAACGCCCACATGGTAAGCTCGATTCACATGGGCTGGTGGGTTCTTTCAAAGTATTATGAAGAAACCGACAAAAACCCCGTGTATGCCACGGCACTTCTGCTCCATCCAGAAAAACGGCGGAGGTATCTCGACCGTCATTGGGCACCAGAGTGGCGGCAGACAGCCATTGCTGCAGCACAGCGGCAATGGGCGAAGTATAAGGACAGACCAATTTCTTCGGAGAGAACCGTGCGACCCAGTTGTGAAGCGCGAGAGGTCGCTTCTTACGAGCGCATAAGGCAGTCAATGAGTGTCCTGGATGAACCTGGCGATGAAGACGAGTTTGAGAAATTCATCAATGCTCCTCCGAGACATATGCTGACTGCCAATCCGCTTGAATGGTGGTGTCGTGAGGAACAGAGAGCCGAGTATCCACGCTTGCATCAGATGGCTCTTGACATACTCAGCGTCCCAGCGATGTCGGACGACCCGGAGCGGGTGTTCTCTTGCACAAGGCGGACACTTTCTTGGGATCGAGCTCGACTTTCCGCGGACAGGACTGAAAAGCTGCAATGCTTGAGTAATTGGGTGAGGAACGACTTGATTCGCAAACTGTACGTTGCGGTTGATGACGAGATCATGGATGTGGGCGGCGGCAACGGAGACGGAGACGAGCATTCGACGTTATATTAATAATTATTGATAAGCTTAACAATACATATCAATATAGCCACACTCTTAACAATACATAACAATATGCCAAAAATATGTATTTATTTATTATTGCAATGTCTGATTGGGTGGTTTGGAATAGATGAATCTCAGAAACAGTCCGCCACCTGCAGCCTGCACTCGATCAGGTGCTCTTTCATTCTTATCTGCTTTCTCCATGCCTTCAGCTCTGCAGCTAGCCCGCTGTTGCATTTCTCCATTTCTTGGGTTATCAGGTTATGAGGCGCAGCTCAGTTGGCGTTATATAAAACAGCATTCATCCTCCTGATTCATGTTATGTAACTTTTATTCAAGTTCAATTACTTTGACTCTGAATCTTCACTACCGACAAGACTGTCATTATGCGCTTCATCCCATGTACTGTTCTGGGACTTGCCGCCATTGCGCTTGCAGGCGGTGGTTCTTCTGTGAAGAATACTGCTATTACGCCTTGTTCATCTGGTTACAATTATTGTGGGTGGTATCTCCAAGATACTCTAGGTAGGTTTTTATCCTAGCAAATAAATGGAGACATTCAATTCTTACTTTGACGAATGAAAGGTTTCGTTGTCAACGACAGGAACGCTATCTATTACTGCGCTTCTGAGTACAGAGTGCAGCAAATTGAGCATTGTCAACGAGGTTGTGCTGGTCCAACTGCCCATTGTGCCTGACGGAGAGAACGTTTTCATGTCACTGGATTGGGGATCTCATGAATGGTTCTGATCAGAGAACCCAAAACTATCCTGGCGTGGGCCTTCCTTTCAACTGAATTCCTAAATAGATGAATGCAAATGCAAATTTATACATAAATTACGGGATGGCTCCGGATCTTGCGAAGAGAGATAATAAAAGTGGACATAAAAGTGGATAAAGGGACGTTCGAAGGTCGAGTATCATCCGATCAGAGGGTATGTGAAATGCATGTGTTCATTGCTCTTTTTCTTTTTCCTTTATCCGTCTAACCCTCCCCTTTTGTATCCCTCTATGCCTTCCCTAAGTTAATATCCCGTTTTCAGGTATAGTATACTTCTATCAGCAAGAGGGCACTTCTTGTCGAGAAGAAGGTCCGAACGAAGTGAGGCCTCTAGGTTTCTCTAGGTAATACAGCTTGAAACCAGGTAAGAAGGGAAGTCTGCAGACTGTTATTTCTTCTTCCCAGACCACTGAGGGGTCCGGAGGATCTCCTATTCGAACGGGGACCTTCTAAGGAGCCCGGTATATCTCTTACTGGCTCGGGGACCTCGAAAGATTGAACTATTGATCTAATAGCTAGAAGAGCTATTTGATTGGGGAGATGGAGCTGAAGGTGCTGACGTAGATGACTTACGTGGCCTTCAGTAAGTGGCAAGAAGTGCCCTCTTCCTGATAGAAGTATATTATACCTGAAAACGGGATATTAACTGAGGGAAGGCATAGAGGGATATAAAAGGGGAAGGTTGGACGAAAAAGGGGGAACTGGACAGAGCAATCAACACATGCGTTTCACACACCGTCTGATCGTATGATACTCGACCTTCGAAAAGTCCCTTTATCCACGTTTATCCCCACTTTTGCTCTCTCCTTCGCGACAGTCGTACCTTCACAGACGTCTTCCCTTTGTAGTTGTTGAAAAGTAGGGTCACGATCCAGGCTTGAGGGACCAAAAGGAGTGAGATGCAAGGAGGATGACTGAGCTTCTGCTGGAAGAGACTGGTTGTCTTTAGAAGGTTCTAGGTCATGTCGGATTTGTCAGCTATGTCTGTATAAGACGTAGCCTTCCACTCTTCTCAAGAACAAGAAAAAGAAAAAAGGAGATGTTTTTGACCTCGCACTTCGCGACAGCTGTGGCCCCACACCAAGACCAACGGGTAATCTTTTTACCAATTTTAGGCGTCTCCAGATAGATCATCATGACGTACCAAAATGTGTAATCGTGCCCGAAAGTGGGGGCGGGCACGATTACTGTCCTCGTAACCACGAAGGCTGCTTCACATCTTCCGACAACCGCTCTACCAAATATAAGTCGAACTCGCGACTTGTCTCCGTGGGCAATCGAAGCACAATGGATACAGTCAGCCGCATCAACAGGTTCGTCACATGCACGTCGTGCGGCAGAATGATCATGGCCAGGGACCCGCGCGTGGTCGGGACCACCAGCGGCCCCGGGGTCGTCACCGGCTTCTGGGGCGGGAGCACGTTCCACCTCGTGGTCTGCAGCTTGTGCGAGCACATCGGCGTGCTCCAGGTTGTCACCGGGGTGGAGGTCTACACCGACTACCCGTTCGCGAGTTCCACGCACGTGGCGACGACCGTGGTCAAGGCCTCCGACGCGTACATGAAGGCGTGCGACATCACAGGCTCCTTCGCGAACCTGGGCGACTTCATGGACAAAGTCCCGATCGTCAACAGGGACGCGCTGGAGAAGAGCTTCCCGTACAAGACCTGGGTCAACTACGTGTCCATGAGCGACAAGAGCCTCCCGACGCTGGGCATGCGCCCGTACATGATCACGAACTTCCTCTAGACGATGGTGCCATCGGCTGGGGGCACCGGTGTCGAAAACCACGACGCGGATGATCATGTTGACGACCACGAGCTGGATCATTGGCGGTGGTTAAGCCACTCCTCGCCAAAGAAAATAGTTTCGCAGCAATCAAAGTGCGCCTTCTTCCGATGACTTCTGTGGCCACTTTCTGTATAGAGTTGTCCACAAATGCAGAGCACGGATGCCATGATAGCAAGCTCCGATCTCGTATCCGTGGTCGAGAGGAGACTCGCACGTGCTGGAGGGGGTCGCTAGTCGCGCGAGAGAGTATGTGTGATTGAATGAGCGTCGCGTGAGCGTTGCGCGGACGGGGAAACGTTCCGTGGAAGGGAAAATGTTGCGTGGAAGGGAAAATGTTGCGTGGAAGGGAAAATGTTGCGTGGAAGGGAAAGCGTTGTGCGGAAGGGAAAACGTTGCGTGGAAGGGAAAATGTTGCGTGGAAGGGAAAGCGTTACGTTGCTGGGAGAAGTGAGTCCAAGCCACCTCGTTGATCCTAGCCCGTTGGCTCGTGAGCTTCGGCGGGCCGCAAGTGCCTGCATGCTGGCCAAAACCCAGTGCGTGACATGGCGCTACGCTACCCCCAGAGCACTGATGTTGACGACCCGTCAGACGAAGCACACAGTCTGCGCGGCACGGCCGGTGCTTCGCGTACTCGGGTCTACCCCCGCCAGCCAGCCCGGCACCACAATCAGGGACCTGTGCCTGCACCACTGCTCCTCCGACTCGCACGTCGTCGACGCTTTCCTCGGCCGCTGGCCCTTCGACTCGCTGCTGTGGCGCCATCTCTACCTGTCCATGCAGCCCCTCGTCCTGCTCTTCCGCAACGCCGTCGCCCGCGACATCTTCGCAAAGGACTGCATGATGATGCGCCACGGCTGCCACACCTTTCCCATATGCGGCCTCCTGCTCCAGGCCACCCAGGCCTTTGCCTGGGCCGTCGACCAGCCCTTGCCGGACGAGGCCCGCCCCTACCTCGAGGGCTGGACCAGGGAGGAGTTCACCCCCGGCGACTTGCCCGTCAGCTTCGCCTTGCCGCAGCAAGACGACATCAAGGACCTGATGACGGCCGCCCGCGGCGACTCCGCCAACGAGGACGAGCTCGGCTCCCTGATGCAGAGGTGGGCGCTCGAGTAGGCTGGCGCGAGTCAAGGCGGCGATGCGGCTGTTTCGAGTCTGTCTTATTGATGTAACTACGAGGGGCGAATTTGAGATCACCAAGCAAGGGGACCGGCTTTTCAACTCGCCCTGACCTTGCGACGCTATATACAAAGTCAACTGCTTTGCAATACAGGACACCTGAATTGATCCTTACAATACTGTATTCATTCCCTCAAAACATTTTGAAGCTCTTCAAGGGCTGTTCTCTTCGAACATGAATGAGCCTTGCGTCCATTGACAAATAGGAAATAGGACATAGTGTAGGAATGTATCTATCTAGTGGTGTGACCAACCATGGTTGGCACGTGACCCGTACGGTCACGTGTGCGGCTGAGGGCAGCGTGCCCCCTTTCTCCACGCTGGCCTCTGCCTCCTTAGATAGAGAATCAAGACGAATACAACATCAGGTTAACCCTAGTACCGTCTCATTGCAGCAGCTGCCGCAGGTGCCTACCCACACTGATCAGTGACCGGCCCACGCCCGTCACAGACAGCTAAGTAGAAGAGACAAATTCCTCAACCTTCGAAGGTGCTATAGTCCGCGTCACTTTACTGTGGCCCTGAGTAGCGCTCAGAAGAAGGTTATTTGTGCTAAGAACAAGGAATCTCCCGCTGGTTTGCCCAGCCGCGCGAGAGTCCTTCCAACTGTTGATTACGATCGCCCGCTAGTTTGCCTAGCCGTGAGCACCGGAATCGACAGGCGACCACATCGCAAACAACTAGTAAGAACGTTCGACCCTTGACGTTAAGTAGCAAGATCCCCGTCAGTTCAGTCTGGCCGCGAACGACCTACTTAGTACGCGACGCTCGACCTCCTATTAGCGACAACTCGTATACGAAGAGACCAATACGAACCCCACATCGTCTCATTCATTTGATCACGATAGCCCCGACCGCCCGAGCTATGTCCCCAGAAGCCCAGCTCGAAGAAATATGCGACCAGATGCAGGCACTAGACATCCAAGCATCCGCATTCCGACAAATTAATATCGACCTTTGGGACAACGATATCACACACGACGAAAAGGACAAGATCGCAGTAACGACATATGTGGCAAAGTTCATATTCATCGTTCAATCTGGCAGTGATCAAGGATACGACCTCCTTGGTTACTTCCAACAGCATTTTGAAGAATGGACCGAAGACACATGGGACCGCGCCCCGAATGAATACAAGAGAGCCCTCAGGAAACTACTAAGGAAAAGAGGTATCTACACAGGTTCACAAAGGGGAAATTCGCAACACAATTTCTCATATTACAAACTATCGAGAACCCACAAACCTGGCCAGAGCAGGAGTTTACGGAGATGGTGTTTGATGAGAGGACTGCTGCCTTCAGGAGGCAGACAGCATTACTAGGATCAAATGCTTCCACTAATCCCCATCCGTCTCAACCTCCTTCACCATCAGTTACGCCCTTAGCAGCACCTCATCAAGGTCTTAACGAACCACAACCTATTAAGACCCTAACGAGCCCTCCTAACGCACCTACTCCTGCTCCGACTATCCAAGATAAACCTGCTCCGACCTCTCTTACTATTCATCCGACTTCCTACCGCTTCCAGAACCCCGATCTCGTCCAACCCGTCACCAACCCCATCCCCGAACACTTATCCGGCCCTGCAACCTTTGGAGAATACATGAAACTCCCCCCGGATAACATCCCGAACGCTATCGTCGATAGCGACATCCAGCAGAAGTTTATGAAGACCTGGAACAAAGATCGGAACTACACAGGAGAGCCGTACGATCTCCTTGATGATAAGCTCCGCCTCTTCTTAAGCAACTGCTCTCATATCCAAGTGAAACCGTCACAATTTCACGCACTCTTTCCCCGGATCCTTGATGGAAGAGCCCAAAGATTCTATCTTGATAAGATCACATGGGCTACGACGTTCCGACAAGCGTATGATATCTTCAAACAACACTTTGACACGGAAGTCAACCATGTCCACTACCATACTGACTGGACAACAATAACCTTTAACTCCATCCGTGCCCAAGATGCTTCGAAGACCCCCCACGAAGTGCTTCAAACCCTCTTTGATAAGCTTCAGCTCTGCCAACGAGCCCTTGGCAGGAGTACGGAGGAGACCTTCTACTGCGTACAACGCTTATGAAAGCATGCCGGAGTACCCGAACTCCAATACGCTCTTTTCAAACCCGCCGATAACGTCGAGCACCTTCTTGCAGATCTTCGTGCATCCGTTGAAACCCATCTTGCCCTCATAACAACTTCTCAATTTCCCTTGACTTTGCTGGATCATTCGATCATAACGATCCACGCCATCAGTACTACCTCGACCGTCGATACAATAACAACCGCTCTCGAGGCAGATACGGATATTCAGGTCAACGACCCAGCCGCGGATACGGACAAAGCTACAACCGTGGAAACTACCGGCCTCAAAGCCGTAGTAACTACAATCCTAGCTACAATAACCGCAACTGGACAAAGAAGTGTTTTGTTTGTGGACAAGAAGGCTGTTGGTCAACTAAACACTCTACGGATGAACGACAAAAGGCCAAGGACCAACATATCACTCAATGCCACTTCATAGGTGTACAACTCACGGACATCGGAGGCTATATTCTAGACTACGAAGGTCATGAGATGAGCAGCTTTGATGACACTGAAGATACATGGGAAGAACATGACAATAGCACCAACGATCACCCGGAACAATGGCAAGCAAGCCAAATGCTCTGTCAACAGGCATTCAATCATTTGATCACAGGAGAAGACGTCTATCAGACGGATCAAACCGTTGTTCCAGCCTCGCAATTTATTATTGAAGATCGCTATTCAAGGGATAGATTCCAAGGTATCATGATCGACACAGGTGCAGCAACATTCTCCACAGCAGGATATTCTCAGTACATCGCCCTACAACGAGAAGATCCTTCTGTAGCTCTCGACAGCTCTACATCCGGCCAGGCCTCCATCAAATTTGGCAACGGCGACACGATTAACTCCCTTGGCACAGTTGCCCTAAAAACACCCCTCGGAAGGATCACGTTCCACATCCTTCAAACCCCAACTCCTTTTGCTCTGCCTTGCTGATATGGATCGACTTGGTATCTATTTCAATAACATCACAGATACCATCAATTGTAGTAATCATTGTACTAATCGCCCTACCAGCATCCCAGTCATCCGCAAATGGGGACATCCCTGGTTCTTCCTTACGAAAGATGAAGAGTCTATCTCGTTTCTTACGGAAACAGAGATTCGTACACTTCACCGACGCTTTGGACACCCAGCAGTCCCTAGGCTCCATCACCTCTTGAAGCAAGCCGGGCACAGTGACGTCTCGATAGACACATTAGAGACTATCTCTAAGTTCTGTCACCACTGTCAAATGCACTCACAAGCCCCACGCCGCTTCAAGTTCACCCTTAACGATGATCAAGAATTCAACTACGAAATCATCGTTGATGTGATGCACCTAGGAACACCACAACGCCCTGTTCTACACGTTGTGGACTCAGCTACTGCTTTCCAAGGAGCCAGATTTTTACCGTCAATGTCAGCTAAAGATACATGGGAGACCCTCCGGACCCTCTGGATCGACACGTATCTTGGACCTCCTGATACCCTCCGTCACGATGCAGGAACTAACTTTGCTTCTCTCGAATTCCGGAACGAAGCAAAGATTATGGGGATCAAATGCTCTCAAGTACCTGTTGAGACGCATTGGTCCATTGGAAAGATTGAACGCTATCACGCACCCCTCCGACGCGCCTTTAACATCCTCCATGCTGAGATTGGCCACACCACTTCCGCCGAAACAGTCCTTCAAATGGCTGTTAAAGCAATCAATGATACGGCAGGACCTGACGGTCTTGTGCCTACGTTGCTTGTTTTCGGCGCATACCCTCGCGTATCTACAGACTCGCCCCTTCCGCTTCCACCCTCAAAAGATCGGAAGCTATGCAGAAAGCGATGAAAATGCTCCGCCAACTCTCGGCAGAAAGACGAGTTAAGGATGCCCTCCATGCACGCAACGGCCCGAGCACGACAGAAGTGCTATCCTCCCGCTGCAAAGTGAAGTTCGCGTTTGAGAGAGAAAGACGGTTGGCAAGGACCCTTCAAGATTGCATCGATTGATAGCCATAACATCACCATTGACACAGTCAACGGCCCCAAGTCTTTCGATCGACCCTTGTACAACCGTATCTGCGTGATGATACCACTCTTTCCGACCCTACACACGACACAGACCCTCAGGCATTCGTTCAGATCTTAATGAACAACCGGCTCAAGACCCCGTTAAGACCCTAACGGACCTGCCTGCCCGACCCGAACCCCGCCCCCGCAAGAGAGGACGCCCACCAGGATCAAAGAACAAGCCAAAGGATTTGATCATGATGGCCTGCCGTAGACCAGAGCTTCTTGACCCAAAAGGAGGAAGATGCACAAGCTCTTTCCTCAAGCTACGGTCTGATGGCATAATCACCTCTCCTGGTGACCCTTCGAAGAATCCGATAACAAAGAGATTACTGACCTCGTTGGCCGCGGTGTATTCCAATTTGAACGATACGATCAAATGACTCATGGAAACTATAGAATCTTTCGCTCTCGAATGGTTCGTGAAGTCAAAGGAATCAACACTAAGCCCTACGAAAAGTCTCGACTTGTTATTCAAGGACATAACGACTTTGAGAAGACCACCCTCCTGACGCAATCTCCGACAATTCAACGCGTTAGCCAGAGACTCATCCTCGCTATTGCCCCGGACTTCTTCAAAACTACGGCATAACCCTCTCCCTCCGTGATATCACTCAGGCATACCCGCAATCCCAGACCAAGCTTTCCGGACCATTCTTACGTATTTGCCCACGGAACTACAAGGCAAATACCCTAACGGAACAATTATTCGTGTTATTAAGCCCTGTACGGTATCGCAGAAGCCGGAGTCCATTGGTTCCGCACATATCAGCAGCATCACCTCGAAAAGCTGGATATGTCTAC